ATGGATGTGATGTGTTGTTGTAGTATTGATGTTGATGGTAGTGTTGTTGTCGTAATGGTGTTTTGACTGTGATGGATGGTAGAAGTGATCATGTGGTTGTATAGGGTGTCACGATTGTGCTTGTGGTGATGTGTTTGCAGTCGTTTCCTCGTTGAACATTCGTTGTGGTAATGGTGTTGTGTTTGTGGTCGAATTGTCGTTATGATGGTACGGTGGATGTAGTGGTGTTGAATGTTTCGGCCATAATGGTGATGCTGTGGTTGTGGTGCTTTTGTGACTGTGGAAGTAAGGATGATTCTGCTGTAATTATACATGAACGCTGTAGTTGTGCTTTTTATGGTTTACGAGTTCTAACTTGCACACAAACGCTCATATATATATATATATATATATATATATATATATTATATATATATATATATATATATATATATATATATATTAGTCATGCCGAATAGGCAGAACTTGCGATCTTGGCTTAAATAGCAACGCTCATCTTGCCATAAAGGACAAGCAAAAATTTGTGTATGCAATAATTTCGCCAAAATCATTCTTAACCTAACGAAAAAAATATATTTCATTGTGTTTGTTTAGTATTAAATTAATGTAAACAAATCTAAAATATATTTAGTTGGGTTAGGCTAAAATAAATTGATTTTGTTATAATAAGGTTAGGTAAGTTTTCTAAGATTCTTTTGCTGCAAAATTAAAAATTTTTTACATTAACATTAATGAAAAAAATATATCTATAAACGTATAAGAGAAAATTTTAGAAAGGACTTAATTTTAAATGAGTTCTTGCTAATTGACCAGTTTTACATATTCGGCACGACATATATATATATATATATATATATATATATATATATATATATATATATATATATATATATATATATATATATATATATATATATTATTTTTTTTATTAACATATCGGCCGTTTCCCACCAAGCCAAGGCAGGGTAGCCCAGAAAAGGAAAACTTCAATCAACATTCACTCCATCACTGTCTTGCCAGAAGCGTGCTTACACTACAGTTATAAAACTGCAACAGTAACACCCCTCCTTCAGGGTGCAGACACTGTACTTCCCATCTCCAGGAATCAAGTCCGGCCTGCCGGTTTCCCTGAATCCCTTCATAAATGTTACCTTGCTTACACTCCAACAGCACGTCAAGTCCTAAAAACCATTTGTCTCTAATTGCTCCTAACATGTTCACGTACGCTTGCTGGAAGACCGAGTCCCTCGCACACGAAACCTCCTGTACCCCATCCCTCCAACCTTTCCTACGCCGACCCCTATCCCGCCTTCCCTTCATTACAGATTAATATACTCTCAAAGTCATTCTAATTCGTTCAATCCTCTCTACATGTCCAGACCATCTCAATAATCCCTCTTGAGCCCTCAGGAAAATAGTTTTAGTAATCCCACACCTCCTCCTAATTTCCGAACTATGGATTCTATGCATTATATTCACACCATACATTGGCCTCAGAAATAACATCTCCACTGCCCCCAGCTTTCTCCTTGTTGCAAACATTCATCACCTATGCTTCACACCCATGCAAGAGTATGGTAAAACTATACTCTCATATATTCCCCTCTTTACTTTCATGAATAAAGTTCTTTGTCTCCACAGACTCTTAAGTGCACTACTCCTTTTTCCCCTCGTCAATTCTATGATTCACCTCATCTTTCATAGACCCATCTGCTGACACGTCCACTCCCATATATCTGAATGCAGGCACCTCCTCCATACTCTCTCCCTCCAATCTGATATCCAATCTCCCTTTACACCATACACTTCACCAGGTATACTCAACAGACTCATTCCCCTATAATTTTTCCACTCTCTTTTGTCCCCTTTATCTTCATACATAGGAACTATGCATGCTCTTTGCCAATCCCTAGGTATCTTACCCTCTTCCGTATATCTATTAAATAAAAACACTAACCACTCCAAAACTATATCCCTATTTGCTTTTAACATTTCTATCTTTGTCCCATCAATCCCAGCTGCATTACCCCTTTTCATTCTACCCACTGCCCCACGTACTTCCGCCACACTCACAACTGGTTCTTCCTCACTCCTGTGAGATGTTAATCCTTCCCTATCTTCATCAACATTTAGCAATTCCTCAAAATATTTCCTCCATCTAATTGATACCTCTAACTCTCTCTTTAATAAATCTCCTCTCCTGTTTTTAACTAACAAATGCATTCGTTCCCAAGGCTTTCTCAACTTATTAATCTCACTCCAAAACTTTGCGGTGCACTTAGGAGTCTGTGGAGACAAAGAACTTTGTTTTTGGAAGCAAAGAGGGGAATGTATGAGAGTATAGTTTTACTAACGCTCTTATATGGGTGTGAAGCATGGGTGATGAATATTGCAGCGAGGAGACGGCTAGAGACAGTGGAGATGTCATGTCTGAGGGCAATGTGTGGTGTGAATATAATGCAGAGAATTCGTAGTTTGGAAGTTAGGAGGAGGTGTGGGA